AAGACTAGAATTGCTTGTTTTCCAAAGTCACAGAAGATAAGATAAATTTTTGTGACTGTCAAAAAAGGCGGCAAATTGTAATTGTAGACCATAAGGTAAGAAAGAGAGAGGAACTCATATCTGTAGCAACTTCAAAAGATCTCTGAGAGGGGTCGATAAAGATGCTGTTTTTATTTGATGATGTAATATTTGTTATAAATGAATTTAATTTAGAGAAAACTCTATTCCTAGGCTGATAAGTTGGGCCGTCCTGCTGAGGTATGTTTCTTATAGAGAAAATGACAAACTTGTACTTGGCATTTGTCTCCTGGAGACTGATCATGTTGTAGCAGCAGCTGTTGGGTTCCAAATTGGATGTGATCATCTCCGTGATCCTTTTCATCTCTAAGCCTCTGTTAGTTCTGAACACTGTTATGTCTGAATGATTTCATGATTTTGTTTTGTTTTGCCCTCTTCAGTGTAGTGTTCTTCAGAGTCTGAAAGAGCTACTGCAGAATTGGCTGTTGTGGCTTTCTATGGACATTCACATGAAACCTGTTACAAACAGTCCTCTGTGAGTTATCTAACAGTCTTCCACAAGAGACGATCTGTATACAGATGTTTGCATATGTTTAATAGTGTGGCATGAAACCTAATTTTTTCATGTAAATGCTTAGTAGTACTTTCTAGAAGACTTTTCTATGACTTTACACTCTTCTTCCCCCACAATCCTGAGAGGAAGGTTAATTCTCTAAGTTTCTATTATGTAAATCAAAAAGCAACCCCTTATTTGCTAAGTGACTTCAAGAGTTAATAGAGCAAAACACTAGAGAGCTGAGATTAGACTTTGACTTCCATTCAGTTTAACTCATTTTATAAAATATATTCTTATATGTAAAGCCAATTTTCATGATGGCTAGAAAAATCTCTAAGGCAATTTTGCTGTACAACTTTGTTTTTATGTTTCTAAGCTGTATTTTGGTTATATCCATTAATTTATCTTAACTTGGAGTTTAAAATATAAGCCCTAAATTTTTGTTAAATGTGTGCTTTACCTTCAAAATAAAAGTAAAAGACTATCGTGTTAACTGGTGTATGACACTTATATTTATATAAAAAAAGTAAAAGACTAAATTTCAAGGCACTGCCTAATCAGGTTGTTTTGCTTCTTTCTACCAAAAATATTTGCCTTGTCCTATATTCTTTTTTTTTTCTTTGAGACAGAGTCTTGCTCTGCCACCCAGGCTGGAGTGCAGTGATGCAATGTCAGCTCGCTGCAACCTCTGCCTCCCAGCTTCAAATGATTCTCCTGCCTCAGCCTCCTGAGTAGCTGGGACTACAGGCATGTGCCACCGCACCTAAGTTTTTTTTATTTTTTTATTTTTCTTATTTTTAGTAGAGATGGGGTTTCACCTTGTTAGGCAGGCTGGTCTCAAACTCCTGGCCTCAGGTGATCTGCCCACCTTGGCCTCCCAAAGTGCTGGGATTACAGGTGTGAGCCACTGCGCCTGGCTGCTTCTCCTAAATTCTATTGTCAGTCACATTATTTTTCAGCAGTTGAAGAACTATATTATAGGAAATTACAAAGTGAGTCAAAAGTAGAGAAAATACTGCAGTGTTACCATTCTGTGCCCATTACCCATCTTCAACAGTTATCAGCTCTTGGTTAACCTTTTTTCATCTAAGTACCTTTGACCTTTCTCTTCAATTTTTTTTTTTTTGTTAACTAAAACATTAAGATTTATCTCTTCAATTATTATTATTATTATTATTTGAGACGGAGTTTCGCTCTTGTTACCCAGGCTGGAGTGCAATGGTGCAATCTCGGTTCACTGTAACCTCCGCCTCCTAGGTTCAAGCAATTCTCCTGCCTCAGCCTCCTGAGTAGCTGGGACTACAGGTGTGCACCATCATGCCCAGCTAGTTTTTGTATTTTTAGTAGAGACAGGGTTTCACCATGTTGACCAGGATGGTCTCGATCTCTTGACCTTTTGATCCTCCCGCCTGGGCCTCCCAAAGTGCTGGGATTATAGGCGTGAGCCACCATGCCCTCTTCAATTATTTTTAAGCAAAACTCAGTTCTTGTTTCAACTGTAAAAAATGATACCATTATGACACCTAAAAAATTAGTAGTTCTTTTTTTTTGAGACAGAGTCTCACTTTTGCCTAGGCTGGAGTGCAGTGGAGTGATGATAGCAACCTCTGCCTCCTGGGTTCAGACAGTTCTCCTGTTTTGGCCTCCCAAGTAACTGGGACTATTGGCATGTGCCACCATACCCAGCTAGTTTTTGGGTTTTTAGTAGATGGTTTCACCATTTTGGCCAGGTTGGTCTTGAACTCGTGACATCAAGTGACCTGGCCTCCCAAAGTGCTGGGATCACAGGCAGGAGCCACCATGCCCAGCCGATAGTTCTTAATATCTTCAAATACCTAACCAATGTTCAAATTCCCCTTAGCTTCAGTTATAAATAACTGGTGGTTAGCTTGGTTAAAAGTTCAGCCCAGACTCATTTTTCTGTATGTTCTTATCCCTGTAGTGGTTTCCTACTTTGGTAGGAGAATAGAGAATAGAAGCTTCTTATGGCCTGGAAAATTGTTTTTAATTCTTCCTATTCCTTATTACATTGTTTCCATATACATCTGATCACTTTTAGAAGGAAGTGGAGTGTTAGTGGGTAGTAAACATCTTGTAAAGCTGTGCTTCTCAAAATATGGTCCTTGGATCATCAGTATAACCTGGAAACTTGTTAGAGTTGCAAATCTCAGGTCTTGCCCTAGATCTACTGAATTAAACTCTGGAATTGGGGCCTAATAATCTGTTTTAACACCACCATAATTCTGGTGCAAGCTGAAGTTTGAGAACTACTATTATAAAGAAATTCCATTTAAATATTTAATCTCTTCTACCTAAGTTACATTAAGAATAGTAGGTTCGAAATTACTCCCCCCTGCCTTTTTTTTTTTTTTTTTTTTTTTTTTTTTTTTTTTTTTTTTTTTTTTTTTTTTTTTTTTTTTTTTTTTTTTTT